CGGCCCGGCCGCGGGCAGGGCGATGGCACGGCCGCTGAGATGACAGAAGAGCACCCCAACGCTGCCAAAGTGCAAACCGAGGCCGATCGCCAGCCCGGGGCTTTTGTCTGCCAAGACACACAAAACCGCCCTGTCTTAAGCGGGAGAAATTGCATCATTAATTACACAAACGAGGCCCTTGTGCTTGGTGCGGCCGCTCCGGCAGCCGGCGACGCTCCGGCCCGGAGCTGCTCGGGACAACCCCTTTCCCTTTGGATCAATATTTCTATTTATTGATGTAAAATTCCCCTTTCTTGCTGCGCCAAGCGCATAAATACTCGTGTTTTGAGGTTTAAAATCCTGGATGGGAGTGGAGGTCTCTGCTCCCTGCCCCGCTGCGGGGTGGATGTGAACTTAAAGGAGGATTTAAGGAAAGAACCTCTCCTCCAGCCGCTTCACCGGCAGTTAGTCGAGAGCATCGAAAGAAGAGATTAAAAAATATAACAACTGTATCTAAAGTCTCTTTACATAAACACCAAACATCCGCAACGTTTCCAGCATCGCAGCCGGATCCGTCCCAGCGCCGGCGCCCACCCCGCAGCATCCTCTGTGCTAAATCCCGCCTGGATGGATGGATCCAGGGAACGAGAAGGGCTCCGGGGCCGGGATCAACAGCGGAGGGAGCTGCCGGTGCTGCCCCAGGTTGAAGGCAGGAGCCGTGGGCAGGGAAGGAGCAGCTGGCATCGCAAAATATAACGCCCTTTTTGCCAGACTCGGCCCCCGCAACCGCAGAGCTACGGCTTTTTTAATTTAATAACCTTAAAAAATATATAACCTATGCGAGATCTCTCGGGAAAAACCCCAGGCTCCCTCTCAGTCATCCGAATCGGTGTCGTGGCGCTGCCTGACCCCACGGGATGGGGGAGACCTGCTCCTGCTCCTCTTCCTCCCCTTGCGCCGCGGGGACGGGTGCCGACCGCGGCCGTCCCTGCTCCGGCTCCGCCGACGGGCAGGACGGCGTGAGGGGCTCCTGCCCGAATCCCGACTGCTGGCGGAGGAATCCGTATCGTGCCGACGCCGGCCGCCGTGCCGCGACGTCTCGGGGCGCTGCTGGGTTTTCCTTCGGTGGTGCCTACGGGGATGGAGGGGAAAGTGAGAGCAGGGACAGCGGGGACACCGACAAGCCGATTTTGGGGATGAAAAAGGGATTTTGGAAAGCCAGGAGATGCCGATGGGGCATCCTGATGCCAGCTACAACTTTGTGGCTCCCCTAAATCCTTCATCCCGTTTCCCAGCGATGATGCCCCAGAACCAGGGCTCAGCCTTCATCCCAACTCAGCTACCTCTCATCCCGATCCGGAGAAGAATCAGAGGACGACGGAGCAGCATCCTTCTTGTGATGCTTGTCCTTCTTCTTCTCCTTCTTGTGTTTCTTCTTTTTCTTTTTCTTTTTCTCCTTTTTGGATTTCTTGCCACCCTCCGGTCTGCGAGGAAGAGACCAAGCAGTGAGGATCCTGCCCTACGCATCCCTCCGGCTCCTCCGAAAGCTCACCCCCATCCCTCCCTCCGCGTGGATCCCACCACGTCCCTCCTTGGCCAAGGAGAAGCCCCCAGAAACAAAAAATAAAAAAAAACGAAGTTTTGGGGGGCAAACCAGAGATTTTGGGGATGACTCGAGCAGATGCAGAACAAGCCCGATGCCAAACGGAGCCAGAGAAGCGTTTTGCAAAGTATTCCTCCCCCAAAAAAAGGCCATTTCTGGTGGTTTCCCACCAAAGCGGTGCTCCTCATCCTCACCGTTTCTCCTCCACCTTCTCCTCCTTTTCCTGCTTCTTCTTGGAGCCAGATGTCTCGGGGCTGCTGGAGACTTTCTGGTGCTAGGGTTTGGAGAGGGGGGGGAAAGACGGAGCGAGTTGGTGAGCTCGTAGCTTTGAATTACAAGAAAAAGGGATTTTCTCCCTTTAAAAATTAAATTTCATTTTGGGGAAAAAAAAATAAAATTAAATAAAAATTAAATGAAAATTGGGAAAAATTGAAATTAAAACCCCACAAACGAATGCCGTGCGAACAGGGCGCGGGGAGCTCCTGCAGGTCTCTGCGCTACAACCACCAGCTTCACTTTTAAAGAAAAAGTCCCAAGCGCAGGGGGGGGCTTTTTGCCTTTTTCCATCTTTTTTTTTTATAAACCTCAGGAGGAAGACGTGACCCGCGCCGTACCGTGAAGACGGAGAGCCCCATCTTGGCCGCCTCCTTGTCCTCCTTGGAGAGCATCAGCCGGCCGGCGCTGCCGCTGGGGAGAGACGTCGCCGCAGCAGGGCACGAAATGAAGAAAAAACACCCCAAAAAAAGGATAAAAACGGTAAAATAAAATATCTAATTGCCCTGAAATGGGGTGCGGGACTCCCCCCCCCCCCCCCCCCCCCCCTC